ATCGGGCTCTGTGCTGACAGTTCAGAGCCCGGGGCCTGCTTCAGATTCTGTGTCTCCCTCTCTCTCTGCCTCTCCCTCACTCGTGCTGTCTCTCTCTCTCTCTCTCTCAAATATAAATAAAAATAATAAAAATAAAAAATAAAAATCCCTGCTGCCTGTGGCCAACCCCAGCATGGGTCTGCAGCTTGCGTGCGGGGCTTGTTTCAAAGCTCCGCAGGTGATTCCCCTGTGTCGCCAAGGTGGAGAAGCACCAGTTCAAACGCTTCAAAGACAAGACGGACCGAGTGCGTGCGTGAGAGTGGGTGGTCCGCCCGGCTTCACTCCTGGGACCACTCCGGGGAAAGAACATCGCCACCCTCCCACGGCACCTGCCCCAAAGCTGAGAACCGAGCTCCTCAGCTTGGGCTCCTCCTCCAACCACTTCCCAGGGTTGCCAAAGTCCGGGGTCATCCTCTGGGTCTGAGCGGCTGGGCCTTGGAAGGAAGAAACAAAGAGAGGAAAAGGCGGCAAAGCAGCCGCCGCAGTGCGCGGACACGGCCACTAGGGGGCAGCCGCGTGCAAGGCGCGACAACGCGTGGACCGTGCGCGGCCGCTCCCCCACCTGGGAGACTGAGCAAGCCCCATTCCTCACCAACAAGGACAATGGATACGGTCACCTCACCGCTGATCGGAGACTCAGCGCGAGCTAGTGTCCTTCCAGAAGTGAGAGCTCCCCTCCACTATGTAGTTTGTCTGGACTACATACACAACAGCCAACATTTGCTGCTCATCTACTGGTCGGCGTCGCCCCTGCATTGTATGCACAACCTCGTCACAATGCAGTTAACTCGCAACCATCCCCTGAAACGGGCGCTATTATCCCCACTTTACAGACGAGAACTGAGGCTTACGGAAGTGGAATAGACTGGCAAGCCCCACAGCTTGTAAAATGGAATGGGGACTCCAAGCTCGGCTCTGAGGCTGGCATCCTTCCCGACCTGCCATCCCGCGCTGCGCTCTGCGCTGCCCTCCCGGGGATACGCCTTTTGCTTTTCGGGTTCAAGGTGTTTCTCTCACTTGCACCCACAAAAGCCGCCTTAAGCAAGCCCATCTAATTTTCCCCCAGCTCCATCCATTTTCGAAGGCCCCTCCCGGCCTCCCTCCTGCGGAGAACAGGACAAAGCAAGGGCTGGCCCCGAGTTGGAGAAGTCAGGAGAGGGTGGGGAAGGGAGAGGACGCAAGGAGAGGGAGGCGGCAAAGGAGGAGGAGGAAGTGCCGTTTCTGCGTGGTTTCCAGAAACAGCCGCCTCTCGGTACAGAGCAGCCACGCGCCCCTTGTGCAACCTCGACCGAGGAGTTTGAACACCGGCGCCGCAAAGGAACGGGGTCCGCGCGCCCTGCACCCAGCAATGCGCGCTCTGCAGGGCCCGCTCTGCTCGCCAAAGTGGTGAGGCCCAGCAGCCCCTTTGTGCAACCAGACCCCATCCCGGGCCGCAGCTGATTGGCCCAGAAGCGGGCACTAGCAGACCGCAGCCAACCAGCCGTGTCCTGGGGACGAGACACACCCCCGTCTCCTCCCCGGGCTGGACGCCGCCCCCCACCCCCCACCTCCACCCACCTCCAGGAGTAAACCCGGAGCCCCTGGAATGGAGAGGGAGGCCGGGGTGAGCAGAGAGGCGGGACGGAGAGATGTCTGCCCTGCACTGTAAGTTCTAGCCCCGCCTTCCAAGCGTGGCTGTCTTTGGGCCCCACAAGACAGCTGGATAAATTCTCTTCTTAGCCTGAGGCAGCGTGAGTGGGCTTCTGTTACTTGCGACAGTCCTATCCCACGCCCGAGGCTCAAAGGCGGTTTGTGGAATCAATTCTGCAGCCCTTCCTCCCACCCATGGAAAAGGAAGAAGAAAGGAGAGGGACATGGTGCAA